AAAAAATTACCTAGGCCTCCTCTTCTTTGGGCCTAACAACTTTCATAACAAATATATATGAAGAAGGCGTTTTGGGTTACCACTTAGAAAGGAAATGCCTCATTCGTCAACTCCCTCGACCGGAGACTTGGGGGACTCCTACCATATACTACTGCACCTTGATACTCGGAAGTCTCATGACCACTCAATGACTTGGATTTTTCAAGTCTCCAAACGAGAAGTTTTCCTCACTCGGGAAATTAAGGGAGCACTACCTCAACCTACATGCTTCACTCACAAAGCTTCAACATACAAGCTTCAACAAAAGGAAAAATTCAAAGAACTTAGTGAAGAAGGCCTTGGTGTATTTAACACAATACGTTGAAATGAAGCAAAGCTTGTTTATTGATATCTTCGATAAGTTACAAATATGTACATATACATGAATCAAAATAAACAAACCAGAGGGAGCCTTCACAGAGGTTGCTCAGGAGAAGTCTCAGCAGTCGGCAGAGCCCCAGAAAGAGGAGGCACCAGAGGGTGATTATTTGGAGCCTCAGTACTAGGTAGAACCCAGAAGGAGGAGGCACCAAAGGTTGATCATTTGGAGCTTCATTACACGGTACAGCCTCAGAAGATGAAGGCAATAAATGTCTTTGGAACAAACCCACAAACCTCTAATAATCAAGTAAAATCTCTCGATCAGATTCTTACAGCTGGTCGAGCTTCCTCTTCATGTTTATAGCATAGTCATATGCGAGCCTGTGCAACTATTTATTCTCATGCTTGAGCCCTCTGATCTCTTGTTTGAGACTTATCACTTCAGCCGCCAATGATTCAACTTGGCAGGTTCGAGCAAATAGGCGTTGGGCCATATTAGACACAGAACCTGTACACTGAACACTAAGAGCCAAATAATCCTTAACAGCCATCTCATCAGACCGTTTGGAAAGTAGTCTGTTATCTTTGGGAATGAGAAGGTTCCTGGCTACCACCGCAGCAGTCATATCATTCTTCATCACAGAGTCCCCAACGGTAAGAGGACCAATAAGGGATAAAATGGATGGGCGTTATATGTTGTCTTGAGAAGGCATGACTACCTCTTCACCAAAGTTCAAGTCAAAATGACGGTCAGATGGGCCAGACATTCTCAGAAATGATGAAGGAGAAATGAGATGCAATAAATCTCTGAAGTAAAGGGAAATTCCTACAAGCAATAACTCTCTGAATGTACTTCTTGCACACAATTGGTGCCCTTATAAAAGAAAAGGCAACAGGGTCGTTGGTTCAAAAATCGAAGAAGCACCACTCTCCGGATTCAGAAGAGGCACAACTTTCCACAAGCAACATTAGCTCCTCGAGTACCACAGATAACTTTGCCAAAGATCTCTGACAAAGTTTAGACACATAAATTTTGAAGGTCCAGCTACCCTACTATTACCCACAAGGGTAAAGGAACAGCACCACTACTTGATAACTAGAAAGTCCTAATGTGTGTCAACCTCCGTGCTCCGTGGCAAGGTAGACTGGCAAAAATGCCCAACCTTTACTCACATTCGAGAAAAATCGAAGAGGCACCGCCCTTCGAATCTCGAGAGCTAGACTCCCTACAAGATTACTTTCTCAAAAAATCAAAGAGACACTGCTCTCTGAATCTCGAGAGCCAAACTCCCAACATGATTACGTGCTCAAAAAAATCGAAGAGGCACCACCCTCCGAATCTCGAGAGCCAGACTCTCAATAGGATTACTTTCTCAAAAAAAGTAATTAGTCAGCACTTGGAATCAAGCTTCCAGTCAGGAACTGACTGCCTGGAACCTCTTGCCTGATTACTTATCTGGCATTGCTCTCGAGTACTCATCTTCAACATCTTATGCTTCCAGAGAAGATACCACTTCTGCTTGAGGAACAGATAGGGCAAGTGAGAAGGATACAAGGAAGCATGTGGAGACAAGCGTAACAAAACACGTGCCGATACATCCACTACTTTGTCAACAGCAAAAGTATCTCATATCATCAGGATCGAACGTACTCTAGATTTGATGGACTTGTTTTGACCCTCAAATTCTTGAGTCGGCTTTATACTCTGGAGGAAACCAGAAAACCCTTCAGCCCAGTTCAACAATAAGCCTGTGGAAAGTTACTTCTTCAAAAGCAAAAGTATCTCATATCATCTCTTCTCCATTTGCTTCTCATTATCCTTGTTGCTGTTTATGACACAAGGAGAAGGAGAACAATCAACCGGAAGCCGAAGTCGAACCTCTGATCCAGGTTACTTGCTTGGAAGTCTGATTGCTTACCTTGTCTGTTACCTCCTTCGGCAAATCTCCTAGCTCGACGACTTGGGGGACTTCTACCAGAGGGTTTGTATCGCACTTGACCAAGCCCGAAACTGCAAGTAAGCTTAAAGTGAAATTGATACATTACCTTGTGCATCTTCATCGGTTAAAGATACCACGCCTGGATGGAGGAAAAAACTACTTCCAGAGAAGATGCCACATTTACATATGAGATAGATAAAGCAAGTGAAAATGATACCACACTTCGGTACTTAGAAGTTTCGTGATTACTCAATGGCTTAGATCTTGCAAGTCCCCAACCGAGGACTTTCCCTCACTCGAGAACTTAGGGGAGCACTATTTGTACCATACTTGACCAATCCTGAAACTACTGAGCACCGGTCAACGTTATACCGTCAAGGACCCAGAAGAGTTTCCCTCCAACCAGGAGGCCAATCACAGCGTGACATGTGTCGACATCAGAAGCCAATCATAGCGCGACACGTGTCAACATCAGAAGCCAATCACAACACAACACGTGTCAATGTCAAAATGAAACTAGAAACTCTCTTCTATAAATAGAGATCATTCTCTCACAATATTTCCTAATGTCATTTGTACTAAATCATTCACTAGTACTCACTAAAGGAAAGCTTGAACCTTTGTACTTGTGTAAACCCTTCACAATTAATGAGAACTCCTATACTCCGTGGACATAGCAAATCTGGGTGAACCACGTACATCTTGTGTTTGCTTCCCTGTCCCTATCCATTTACATAGTTATTCACACTAGTGACCGGAGCAATCTAATGAAGGTCACAAACTTAACATTTTCTGTTGTACCAAAGTCCTCACTGATTTTGTGCATCAACACATTCCATCCAGCATCAGTGAATATCTCTGTCCATAGGCCAACTGTTTTCTACGGGACAAAACAAGTGCATTGCATCCATGCAGGATAAAAATGGGTATTTAAAGGTGGATGATTGGTGTGACTAGAAAGCAGATTTGAAAATCAGTCTGTTTACAACAAAATGTAGACCAAGTGGCTAGATCCATGAAGCAGGCGTAGGTGGTATGGCATAAACAACATAGACCACTAGATGCATATATAAGTTTATAACTAAAGAAAGACATGTTAAAGTAAAAGGTATAAATAAAAGAAGGCGAACAAAATTGACAGGTGGTAGAAGTGTCACAAAAGTATATGGAAATCAGATTAATAGAAGACATTGTATATTAATATGATCACTTACATTGTATTACATTTTGAATGCAGTGTGACAAATGATGGAAAATTCATTAACAATGAATCCAATGATGTATATTTGGTGACTACTGTGGATCCAATCCCTCTCGAAGCATTTACTCTTCAGGTGAGAAGGGTGATGCATATCAAGTTGCAATTCCAATTATTTGGGATTCTGCTTTTGCTTTCGTATTAAGTTACATTCATGTATTATCAATACATTGACTTCTCTAGGAAGATCTGTCAGTTATATTCTCTCTAAGGCAGGAAGTATGGCCGTAAGAATTATTGACCATTCCTAGAAATAGTTCAAAGACTAGGGTTGAAAAGTAGTAAACTACGAAGATGATTTTGGTATTGGTTGCAATGTACCTATGTATTCATAGAAATTTTCTTGTGTATCGGAAGAACATATTGCTTTTCTGTTTAATGACAGGAAACTGAAGTCTCTGCAAAGAAGACCCTGAGTATGTCCCTTGTGATGTAAATGGGCAATATGGTCAGCTCTTTGACATAATTGCATGGAGGTAACCTGGCCAAGGAGCAAATTTACTTGTGATTAGTAAGTCCTTGATGTAGGCTGGATTAGTTGCATCTCCAATAAATTTTCTTTCTTAAAACTTTTATTGTGTTTTTATACTTTCAAAATTTGAAAGTCAAGATCTAACTTTTTCTTTGACAAAAAGGAGATTTTTTTTTTCTTTTTATTGTTCCTCACCAGCTTCATAAATGAATGTTCTTGTGCCACCATGGCAACACAATTTTATTTTATGCTTTGGTTGGCAGGAAAAACCTTAATAGTAGATCAATATGTTTATAATTGTGAAGATAGAAAGACATACACCATATATTCTTATCACGTCAAATTTCTTGGATATTCACTTCTTTCTTATGCCTGTTATTTCATATTAAATTTGATAAAGGTACAAGGAGAACACCATAGATCGAAATTTATCACTACAAAAGCAACTCCAACGTTATGCTCTTGTTTCCCTCAGTGCCGAGGTTAGCACCCTTTAATCAGTTCTTACATCTGTTATTATTTTAGTAAATTATTTCTTTAGTTTATTCCTTTTTCTTCTCACTTCATTTGATTTAGACTATTCACTCATGGTACAACGATTATAAGTTTTTGTCTGAAGTTGGAAAGGCAGAATGTTCATAAGTTTTTGCTTCATCCTAAGTTGCCTTCTTCAGTTTTAGTGATCGGGATTAATTTGCTTCAGCCAAAATCTGCATTGGGTGTTTTTGTTGCATCGTGTATGGGTAATGTGACATGTGAATTCTATAGGTAGTATTTGGTGTGCATATGGTAGAAAAGGCATGCAAGGGCTTTCAAAGGCATTGAGCTTTTTATGAACCTTGTGGTTGTTGTGTTTGTTAGCCCATCCAATATTCTGGGGATACAATTTAATGCTTCCTTGGCGAGCATTTCATAGGCTGAGTACCATTCTTTCCATTTTCTGTAACTTGTACAACCAGTACATGCAAACTGTGCAAACCAATTAAAAGTTGATTGAAAGTGCAATAAGCTTTCTTGTCTGAAAGGTGAACACTGAACAATAGTATTACATATTTTTAAGCAGATGGTGCAATTTGTTTTGTCGTATTTCTATTTGAACTTCGTGTCCAGAATATAGGATATTATACACTTTTGATGTTGAAGTTCCTCCTCCCTTTCCCATATTTTGTGGTTAGCTGGTGTCCTTCCTTTTTTTCTTTTAGTTGGTTGGATCCTTGAAGTTAAGTTCAGCATATTTTGCTTCATTGTTGCAGTTAACAGGTCTTACAGAGGCAGACAGGGAGGCTCTGGTGTTACAATTAAGGCTGCAGCAATTGTAAATCAAATATTTTACCTTCAGGTTGTATAGGCTCGTACAGAAATACATGCATTGTTAGATAATTATGCAACCATTCCGACCTGTATATTTGTGCTGTTAGGCTATTCAGAATGTTTGATGCATAATGATCGTTGATGTGCATGAAAACCATGATCTGGTGACGCTGCTGCATGGTACATTTGACTATCAACAGTAGTGTGATCTGCGTACTCATTTTGGAATGTATTTTGCACAATAATTAGCTATTTTCATATGAAAGTAAAAATGCACTAAATGAGCCAGGTGGGAAGCTATGCAAAAATATCTTCTAATTTCCATGTGTTGCAGCTAGTTTGTCATGCACCTTTTTTCTTTTCCTTCTTTTTTTTTTCAATCCTTAATCAATCTTGCAGTGACCATCTCTGATTTTTTCCATTCCATTTCTCTAATTTTACGTTTAGGTTTGGTACGGTAACCCAGTTCTAAGGGAATGGTTAAAGGAGCATGCGGATGCATCACAGTTGGACAAGTTGAAATGGATGTACTATGTAATTGATAAGAGTCCATGGTATGTATTTTTTTAACTCGGTGCTCTTTCAGCTGTATGCACATGACATTTTTACGTGCATATATACCATGATGTGTGTGTCTTTGCGTGGGTATGCTCCAATGTTTTAAAGAACTCGCCTCGGGGCGCGCCTAGGGCGCCTTTGAGGCTGGGCGGTGAGGCAAACGCCTCAGTTTTGCTGGAGTAGGCGAAATGCTTCGCCGGAGACGCCGAGGCGGCGGAGGCGCGCCTCACGGCGTCCAGGCGCCTTGTCAGACCCTTTTTTTTGTTTTTTGAAAACCATCCAAACCCAAAACAACGCCGTTTGGGTAAGGATTTTCAGTCTTCATACCATACCTTCGAATTCGATCGCCTTCGTCTACCTCTGCCTTCTGCCTTCTGCCTTCTTGCTTCTTCTTCTCCCGCGCGCCAGAAGCCCAGAAGCCCAGAACACCGGTCCGGTCGCCACGCCACCGCTTGGAGCAACATCGTCGCCACACCGCCATCACCCCACCGCCGTCACCCCAGCACCGTCAGCCCAGCCCCCGCGCCGTCAGCAGGATCCCAAGGGTTAGGGTTTTTGAAATTCTGATATTAGGGATTTAGTTTTCTGGGGAAGGTTTTGCTATAATAGAGGGGTTAATAGTTAGACAGAAAAGTTATTAATCTACCTCTACGTGCTACCTCTGCGTGCTGCCTTGTTTAGGCTATAAATTTATTAATCTGCTCTGCCTTTTCTGGGGAAGGTTTTCTGGGGAAGGTTAGGCTATAAATTTAGTGGAAGGTGCTAGTAGGTTGGAAATTGTTAGGCCTAAGTAGTCGGGACTACATGGGTATATAAATTAATTAATAAATTGTTGGAAATTGTTGGTATATAAATTAATTAATAAATTATTGGTTCATTAACTGTATACATGCATTGAATGTTTATTGTTTTCTTTGTTTGTATTACATTTTGAATAATGAATTTGGATGATATTACCTTTGAATGATGAATTTAGATGATATTATCTTTTGAATGACTATGGATTTGAATGAAAAATTGAGAATGGATGTTTATTTTACATAGTATTATTTTTATACAATTATGTGTATAATATATAAAACATATATATATATATATATATATATATATAATTAAATCCTGTGAGGCTTCGCCTCACGCCTCACGCCTCACGCCTAGGCCGGGCTTCGCCTCGGACGCCTCGCCCACGCCTTACGCTTTTAATACATTGGTATGCTCGTGTAATTTTGGAAGATTCTACTTGAGTAAACATCCACAAATGGGCCTTTAGCTGTGGTAAAATTGATTCAGTGGCAATATTCTGCATGTCAATTAAATTTTCTGGTTATGTGAAAAATTGGGTTGCTTTACTTTCGTTTTGTACTGAATGTGGCTTTCTTGTTAAAACTAAATTTGACATTTCCACTTTAGTGTGACGTGGTTCATCTTGTCTGGACCCAAGTTGTTCACTGAGTGTTGCTTGCTTGCTAGTTTTGTTTGTTTTGTACAGATAGTCATCTTGTTCATCCTCTTTTTAATTTGCTTTTCCCTTTCTGTAAAATCTCTGTTTCCCTTAAATCAATGAAAATAAAAATATTTTCATTTTCTATCAACAGGTCATCCCTTGATGAAAATGAGGCATTTTTGACAATTGCAGATTCGGCTATAAAGTTGCTTCCTGAAGCAACAAGACCGGTTACTGGGTGGAAGGGACTTGAATAGAAAGTTGTGTTTCCTGTGCTGAAACCTCGCAAACTTCTATCCGCCCGACATGGACAAAGTGGTATATAACAGGAGCTCATTGTATTTTAGGAAAGATTTTTTTTGCATTTGTGAACACAAAAGAGTTTCTTTTGGTGTAGGAATTTGAATTGTGGAAGAAAAGTCTAACAGAAGACCAAAAACAAGCTGCAACAAGCTTTTTTCGCAGTTATTAAAAGACAGAGCGAATTAAGCCTGGATTCTTCCTTGTATGGAAGTACAGATGGAAGCACAAATCATTCAGTGACATCCACTCACGATCTATATAGTGTTCCCTTCTCCCAAGAGTATAATGATTTCCCCACACAAGCAGCTGACTTATTGCATAAAGTTGGTGACTTAGCCAGTTCCCCTAGGTATGAGATTGAAGACTTTCTTTTCTTAAGCTGTTTCATTACTAATTCTGAGGGTAAGGATTGTTTATGCAATTTCCAAGCTAGCGTGGGTTTAAATACCGAGATTTCAAGCTTTACAATGTAACAAATATAAATAAGTCATGCAAGAGTCCAACAAAACTTCCTTGGTGTTTTATATCAATATGGCTTTTTTACGTCACTTGATGTCAGCTATCCCTTAATATTTTTGTATGTGCGTCTTCTTTTATAACTAGTATCCAGCGGTATATCACAATGAAATACCAAGGGACAAATACCTTAAAGGGATCTGTCATTTGTATATGTCGTTGTACCTCGTAAAGCACGGTTCTTTCTTCTTCTTCTTTTTTTATCACTGAAACCTCATTATTTAAACTCATTAACTCATCATCCAAAAGTTCCTAACGTTATATTAGAGTGAGAGTGTGGTAATTACTGATGTTAGAAAAAATTACAACTACAGAAGTTGACAGTGGTTGTGCTAAATATTATCGTTGTACAAATGTTAACTTTAGGGCGTCAGGTAGTCGACAGCCGGCACTCCATGATCACGTCGAATCCTTATGAAAATGAATCCAGAACAAAATCGCGCTAAAGCTAGGGCGTCACCCGTAAGTGGCGCGCTGTGTGGCCCGAGCACAGTGATAAGTGAGCAAGGGTCGCTGTATCTCCATCGGCACCCGGATGCAGTGTTAAATGAGCAAGGGGGCCATAGAAACTTCTTTTCGAACGACTCCACTCAAAGTTGTTTGGGAGCATATGCTCCTATCAACTTTACCCGGGACACACAAAAGAAGTACTTTGATCCTATTAGACGGGGGAGGGTGAAGAAGCTAGGACAGAGAAGGGTAGAGTTCAAGAGAGCAAAATGCGTTTAGGAACGTGGAATATAGGAACCTTAACGGGAAAATCTATGGAAGTAGTGGAAGTTATGGTGAGGAGAAGGATAAATATTATGTGCCTACAAGAAACTAAGTGGGTTGGTAGTAAGGCAAAGGATCTAGAAAACTCAGGGTTTAAACTTTGGTATTCGGGCACAAATAGAACGAGAAACGGTGTTGGCATCATCGTGGACAAGACCTTGGTACAAGATGTTGTAGATGTCAAGAGGGTAGGAGATAGAATCATGGCAATCAAGATTGTAATAGGACAAGAACTTATCAATGTGATTAGTGCGTACGCACCTCAAGTAGGGTTGGATACGAGTTCGAAGGAGAAATTTTGGGAAGATCTTGGAGACTTGGTGCAAGGAATTGCTCAGACGGAGAAGTTATTTATAGGAGGAGATTTAAATGGACACGTGGGCAGGGAGACAGGCAACTATGGAGGTTTTCATGGTGTACATATCAAAAGAGTAAGACAAAAGAACAAGACTTGGAAGTGCCCAAGGACTAGATGGTGGAATCTAAAAGAAGAAAAACAAGCCATTTTCAAAGAGAAGGTAATCACCCAATGTGTGTGGGATAGAGAGGGGGAAGCTAGCCAAATGTGGGATTCCATGGCTAGTTGTATCCGAAAAGTAGCAAAAGAGGTATTAGGAGAGTCCAAGGGCTTTGCCCCACACCAAAAGGAATCTTGGTGGTGGAATGAGGAGGTACAAACAAAGGTGAAGGCTAAGAAGGAATGTTGTAAAGCCTTATACAAGGAGAGGACCGATGAAAATGGTGAAAGGTATAGAAAAGCGAAGCAAGAGGCGAAGAAAGCTGTCAGAGAAGCTAAGTTAGCGGCTTACGACGATATGTATAAACGACTAGATACCAAAGAAGGAGAGTTGGATATCTATAAACTATCTAGAGCAAGGGAAAAGAAGACAAGGGACCTAAACCAAGTGAGGTGCATCAAGGATGAGGATGGAAAGGTTCTTGCTACAGAGAACGCGGTTAAAGACAGATGGAGAGGTTATTTTCATAATCTTTTCAATGAAGGACATGAAATGAGTGCTTCTTTAGGGGAGTTGAGTAACTCAGAAGAGTGTAGAAACTACTCTTTTTATCGTCGAATCCGGAAGGAAGAAGTGGTTGTAGCTTTGAAGAAGATGAAGCATAAAAAAGCAATAGGCCCAGACGATATACCAATCGAAGTGTGGAAACTTTTGGGAGAGACAGGTATAAACATGGCTCACTGACCTTTTCAATAGGATTTTGAAAACGAAGAAGATGCCAAATGAGTGGCGAACGAGCACTTTGGTGCCTATCTACAAGAATAAGGGCGACGTACAAAATTGCATGAACTATAGGGGTATTAAGCTAATGAGTCATACAATGAAGCTCTGGGAGAGAGTCATTGAGCATAGATTGAGGCAAGAGACACGGGTTTCGGACAACCAATTCGGGTTCATGCCAGGGCGCTCAACCATGGAGGCAATCTATCTCTTACGAAGATTGATGGAAAGATATAGAGATGGGAAAAAGGATTTACACATGGTCTTTATAGATTTGGAAAAAGCGTATGATAGGGTCCCAAGAGACATTCTTTGGAGGATTTTAGAGAAGAAAGGAGTACGAGTAGCATATATCCAAGCTATAAAGGATATGTATGAAGGAGCAAAGACTGCCGTAAGAACTCATGAAGGACAAACCGAAAGCTTTCCCATAACTGTAGGATTACATCAAGGCTCATCCTTAAGTCCTTACCTTTTTGCGTTGGTAATGGATGAGTTAACAGGACATATTCAAGATGATATTCCTTGGTGTATGCTTTTCGCAGACGATATAGTGTTGATAGATGAAACTCAGGAAGGGGTAAATGCAAAGCTTAACCTTTGGAGAGAAGTGTTGGAATCTAAAGGTCTTCGCCTAAGCCGATCAAAGACAGAAATATATGGAGTGCAAGTTCAGTGCAAATGGAGGCCAAAACGAGTTAGGGGTGAGGATCGGAGATCAAGAAATACCAAAGAGCGACCGTTTTCGTTACCTAGGATCTATCTTGCAAAAGAACGGAGAATTAGATGGAGATCTCAACCATAGAATACAAGCTGGATGGATGAAGTGGAAGAGTGCATCCGGCGTGTTGTGTGACCGCCGTATGCCACTGAAGCTCAAGGGAAAATTTTATAGGACGGCAATAAGGCCGGCGATGCTGTATGGCACAGAATGTTGGGCGGTGAAACATCAACACGTACACAAAATGGGTGTAGCGGAGATGAGGATGCTTCGTTGGATGTGTGGGCACACGAGAAAGGATAAGATTAGGAATGAGGATATCCGGGGTAAAGTAGGAGTAGCCGAAATTGAAGGAAAGATGAGAGAAAATCGGTTACGGTGGTTTGGACATGTGCAAAGAAGGCCTACTGACGCTCCGATTAGAAGATGCGACTATGGGACAGAGGTTCAGGGCCGAAGGGGTAGAGGAAGACCTAGGAAAACTTTGGAAGAGACTCTAAGAAAAGACTTAGAGTACTTGGATCTAACGAAGGACATGACACAGGATCGAGCACAATGGCGTTCTAAGATTCATATAGCCGATCCCACTCAGTGACTTGGATTTTCCAAGTCTCCAACCGAGAAGTTTTCCTCACTCGGGAAAATTAAGGGAACACTACCCCAACCTACATGCTCCACTCAGAAAGCTTCAACATACAAGCTTCAACAAAAAAGAAAATTCAAAGAACTTAGCGAAGAAGGCTTTGGTGTATTTAACACAATACGTTGAAATGAAGGAAAGCTTATTTATTGATATCCCCGATAAGCTACAAATATGTACATATACATGAGTCAAAATAAACACACAAGAGGGAGCCTTCACAAAGGTTGCTTAGGAGAAGTCTCAGCAGTCGGTAGAGCCCCAGAAAGAGAAGGCACCGGAGGGGGATCATTTGGAGCCTCAGTACTGGACAGAACCCTAGAAGGAGGAGGCATCAGAGGTTGATCATTTGGAGCTTCATTACGCGGTACAGCCCCAGAAGACGAAGGCAATAAATGCCTTTGGAACAAACCCACAAATCTCTGATGATCAAGTAAAACCTGACCATCAGTTTCCTTCATCTGGTCAAGCTTCCTCTTCATGTTTTTGTAGCATAGTCATGTGCGAGCCGGTGCAACTGTTTATTCTCATGCTTGAGCCCTCTAATCTCCTGTTTGAGACTCATCACTTCAGCCGCCAATGATTCAACTTGGCGGGTTCGAGCAAATAGGCGTTGGGCCATATTAGACACAGAACCTGCACACTGAACACTGAGAGCCAGCGAATCCTTAACAGCTAACTCATCAGACCGTTTGGAAAGTAGTCTGTTATCTTTGGGAGTGAGAAGGTTCCTGGCCACCACCGCAGCGGTCATATCATTCTTCATCACGGAATCCCCAACGGTAAGAGGACCAGTAGGGGAGACGAAGGATGGGCGCCATATGTTGTCTGGAGAAGGCGGGGCTGCCTCTTCAACAAGGTTCAAGTCAAAACGACGGTCGGAGGGGCCAGACATTTTCAAAGGTGTTGAAGAGAGAAGAGGTCGGACAAATCAAGATCTTAGAAGTGCAAGAATGAAGCTTCTACTGGTGGAGATTCAAGTGTGCTTTGGAACTTAATGCCAGCCCCTATAAAAAAATCTGCACTCGACGGAGCTTCAGAAATCGAAGAGGCGCCTGCTCAGAAATCGAAGAGGCGTTTGCTTTCTCAAAAAGCTGGGCTGCTTAGAGATCACGAGGGTTGATCTCAGAAATCGAAGAGGCGTTTGCTTTCTCAAAAGTTGGGCTGCTCAAAGACCACGAAGGCCGATCTCAGAAATCGAAGAGGCGCTCCCCAGAGACCACGAGGGCCGATCTCAGAAATCGAAGAGGCACCTACTTTTCCAGCCTTGTCAGCACCTGTCACACGCACACTCAGCTTTGCGGAAATTATGGGCATTCTGTCGAAGACTTCTGGGGAAGTAGAAAAACACATGAATCTTACTGTTCAATCACCCACTTCCCACACGCAACAATAGCTCATGGGTACCACAGATAACTTTGCCAAAGTTCTCTGCCAAAGTTGAGCACGTGAAGCTTGCAGCTCCCACTACATCGCTCTGACCAAGAAGGGTAAAAGAATAGCAAAGAAACAGCACTAACAAAGTTTAAACCCATAAATTTTGAAGGTCTAGCTACCATATTATTACCCACAAGGGTAAAGGAACAGTACCACTGCTGGATAATTGGAAAGTCCCTGTGTGTCAACCTCTGTGCTTCGTGGCAAGGTAGACTAGCAAACATGCCCAACCTTTACTCACATTCGAGAAAACACTCCCAATAAGATTGCTTGCTCCAAAATCGAAGAGGCACCGTCCTCCGAATCTCGAGAGCCAGACTCCCAACATGACTACTTTCTTAAAAATCGAAGAAAGAAGCTTCGTGGCAAGGTAGACTAGCAAACATGCCCAACCTTTACTCACATTCGAGAAAACACTCCCAACAAGATTGCTTGCTCCAAAATCGAAGAGGCACCGCCCTCCGAATCTCGAGAGCCAGACTCCCAACATGATTACTTTCTCAAAAATCGAAGAGACACTGCTCCCCGAATCTTCGAGAGCCAGACCCCCAACATGATTGCTTTCTCAAAAATCGATGACGCATCGTTCTCCGAATCAATCGAAAAAGGCGCTCGCTTTCTCAAAAGCTGGGCTGCTCAGAGACCACGAGGGCCGATCTCAGAAATCGAAGAGGCACCTACTTTTCTAGCCTTGTCAGCACCTGTCACACGCACACTCAGCTTTGCAGAAATTATGGGCATTCTGTCGAAGACTTCTGGTGAAGTAGAAAGCACATGAATCTTACTGTTCAATCACCCACTTCCCACACGCAACAATAGCTCATGGGTACCACATATAACTTTGCCAAAGTTCTCTGCCAAAGTTGAGCACGTGAAGCTTGCAGCTCCCACTACATCGCTCTGACCAAGAAAGGTAAAAGAATAGCAAAGAAACAGCACTAACAAAGTTTAGACACATAAATTTTGAAGGTCTAGCTACCATATTATTACCCACAAGGGTAAAGGAACAGTACCACTGCTGGATAATTGGAAAGTCCCTGTGTGTCAACCTCTGTGCTTCGTGGCAAGGTAGACTAGCAAACATGCCCAACCTTTACTCACATTCGAGAAAACACTCCCAACAAGATTGCTTGCTCCAAAATCGAAGAGGCACCGTCCTCCGAATCTCGAGAGCCAGACTCCCAACATGACTACTTTCTCAAAATCGAAGAGAGGGTAAAGGAACAGTACCATTGCTGGATAATTGGAAAGTCCCTTGTGTGTCAACCTTTGTGCTTCGTGGCAAGGTAGACTAGCAAACATGCCCAACCTTTACTCACATTCGAGACAACACTCCCAACAAGATTGCTTGCTCCAAAATCGAAGAGGCACCGCCCTTCGAATCTCGAGAGCCAGACTCCCAACATGATTACTTCCTCAAAAATCGAAGAGACACTGCTCTCCGAATCTCGAGAGTCAGACCCCCAACATGATTGCTTTCTCAAAAATCGAATGAGGCATCGTTCTCCGAATCTCGAGAGCCAGATACCACAGACCACTTTTTCAAAGTGCTCTGACAGAGTTAAAACATGTGAAACTGGCAGCTCCCACTACCGTGCTATGACCAAACAGGGTAAAGGAATAGCATTACTACTTGTTGTTAGGGGAGACTCCTATATATGTCGACCTCCATCCCCAACGGACAGGCAGACCTGCAAAAATGCTCAACCCTTCATCATATCTGAGAGGGCACTCCCAACGAAGCCTTTCGAAATATTCAGCTTTCTTTCCCCCCGATAATACCTCTGCAAACAAGCTATACTAGAGCAAGAATATCTCATATCATCAGGGTTAAAAGCAAGAGTATCCCATATCATGTTTTTTCCCTGTCTTTTCCTTTGGCCTTGTTTTTACCTGCAAGACAAGGAGAAAGAGAGCAATCAGTCAGCACTTGGAATCAAGCTTCCAGCCAAGAACTGACTGCCTGGAACCCCTTACCTGATTACTTACCTGGCATTGCTCTCGAGTACTCATGTTCAACATCTTATGTTTCCAGGGAAGATTCCGCATCTGCTTGAGGAACAGATAGGGCAAGTGCGAAGGATACAAGGAAGCATGTGGAGACAAGCGTAACAGCACACGTGCCGATACATCCATTACTCTGTCAAAAGCAAAAGTATCCCATATCAGCAGGGCGGAACGTACTCTAGATTTGATGGACTTGTTTTGACCCTCAAATTCTTCAGTCGGCCTTATACTCTGGAGGAAACCAGAAAACCCTCCAGCTCAGTTCAAGAATAAGCCTGTGGAAAGTTACTTCTTCAAAAGCAAAAGTATCTCATATCATCTCTTCTCATTTTTCTTCTCTTTATCCTTCATGCTGCTGCTGCAAGATGGGGAGAAGGTGAACAATCAGTCGGAGCTCTGATTGCTTACCTTGTCTGTCACCTCTTTCAGCAGACCCCCTAGCTCGGCGACTTGGGGGACTCCTACTACATGGTTTGTATCGCGCTTGACCAAGCCTGAAACTACAAGTAAGCTTCAAGTGAAATTGATACATTACCTTGTGCATCTCCACCAGTTAAAGATACCACCCCTGGATGGAGGAAGAGTACTTCCAGAGAAGATGCCACATCTACCTATGAGACAGATAAGGCAAGTCAAGACGACACCACACTCCGATACTTAGAAGTTTCGTGATTACGAGATCATTCTCCCACAATATTTCCTAATGTCATTTGTACTAAATCATTCACTTGTACTCACTAAAGGAGAGCTTGAACCTATGTACTTGTGTAAACCCTTCACAATTAATGAGAACTCTTCTATTCCGTGGACGTAGCCAATCTGGGTGAACCACGTACATCTTGTGTTTGCTTTCCTATCTCTATCCATTTATATACTTATCCACACTAATGACCGGAGCAATCTAGCGAAGATCACAAAAAGCGACTGTTTTCGCTACCTAGGATCTATCTTGCAAGAGAACGGAGAATTAGATGGAGATCTCAACCATAGAATACGAGCTGGATGGATGAAGTGTAAGAATGCATCTGGCGTGTTGTGTGACCGTCGTAGGCCACTGAAGCTCAAGGGAAAATTTTATAGGACGGCAATAAGGCCAGCGATGTTGTATGGCACAGAATGTTGGGCGGTGAAGCATCAACACGTACACAAAATGGGTGTAGCGGAGATGAGGATGCTTCGTGGGATGTGTGTGGGCACACGAGAAAGGATAAGATTGGGAATGAGGATATCCGAGGTAAAGTAGGAGTAGCCGAAATTGTAGGAAAGATGAGAGAAAATCGGCTCCGGTGATTTGGACATGTGCAAAGAAGGCCGACTGACGCTCCGGTTCGAAGATGTGACTAAGGGACAGAGGTTCAGGGCCGAAGGGGTAGAGGAAGACCTAGGAAAACTTTGGAAGAGACTCTAAGAAAAGACTTAGAGTACTTGGATCTAACGGAGGACATGACACAAAACCGAGCGCAATGGCATTCTAAGATTCATATAGCCGACCCCACTTAGTGGGAAAAGGCTTTGTTGTTGTTGTTGTTGTTGTACAAATGTTAACTTAATCTTTTGTTCTCTATGAAGTTTGAAGAGATTTTTTCACAGCAAGGCCGATGCTTTCCTTTCAAATGACTACTATGACTCGGATATAGCTTGGATGGAGTTGGTTTGTAGAGTATTTAATATACCATTTACAATCATGAATCTGCTCAGTATTTCAGTTATATGATGTTGGTTCTTAGTTATTCGTTCCTATAAACAATTATTTTCATCAGCTAGTTTATTAATGTCGAAGTTGCTATCAATCAGCTTAATTCTTTAACACAATATGGTCTTATTATTGATTTCAATGTAATTTAACAACAATATCTAGTTTTCTGAAGTTGTATTGCCTGGATGTAAGTGGTGTTACTTCATATGAAATGGAATTCCCTATTTTATTGCCTGCCTGTTGACTATTATTTTTTTCAGCAATGACCACAATTTTCTTTTTTAATATAATGTAAACAGCAATACATTAAATGCGAAACCAGCTGTCCACTGGAGGTACTAACGGCAAATCTTGGCTCTATCCACTAGAAATATGTTTCCACCCCACACTTGCATTCAAATGTTCAACCATTCTTTCCCTCTTAAATGACCCAAAAAAATTGCCAACAGACTACAACTTTACAGAACTGTAGCTTTTTACCACCACCAAAAGCACAATGTTTCTCACTAAATAGTGAAACACAAGACTGAAGTTACCAAACTCAACCATGATTCTCGCAACAAACTGTACCATAGTCTCAAGCAGATGAGACAGTGAAAGAATGGAAGCTTTCTAGTTTTCCTCTTGTTATTTGCTTATTGTCTGTAAATTCTTCAGAGCATAAACTGCTGAACCAGCCTTTGTTTCTATCTACTCTTCTGTTGTAGGACTCTAAGCTGGATGTTACTATTGGGCCATATGAAACATATGAAGATGCTCTTTTTGGATACAAGGTATTTTTTATATGGACCACCCTTGTGTTTTTGAGCTTCTACATTTATGACTTTGAATTTTGAAATGTGATCAAACGGATATACTGCAAATACAATTATATTGAATTAAATTTCTTCTGTTTCTTAAAGTTTTTATAATGTTCATTTTCTTGCATATGGAGTCATGGACATTTTTTTTCTGAAAGGAACCTATTTGGGAATTTAAGTGATGTAGCATGGTAGTAAATTTTAGATGTTATTGAACTACCTTTTATTTTGGGCTACTTTTGAAGCATTTGTTGGAGTTCGAGATGAAAAAGCAACTGCTCAAGTAAAACTTTTTGGTGACAATTTGCAGGTACTATTGTACAAACGTTTTCTACCAGAGATGCAATATCTTACCAAATAAAAAAATGATCCTGACAACTTTGTTATTCCTTCTAATTATCCGTTACCTTATTTTTATAAGGTTTTGGAACAAAATCTGCCACTGGATAATGTCTGCAAGTTCAGAGATGTGATATATGCTCCTATTCAAGTCATCGATCTTATTTATAATGCAGGAGAATCTTTCAAGATGTTCTATTTTATGGCTACATGCAATTTTTTCATCACAGGCACAATGATCGGGATTATAGTTTTCCTTGCTTCTAACCCTCTACTGTTGAAGAAAATAGTCAATGAAAAATAGTGTTTGGAGGGTAGAAAATGAAAATGTATACTTCTCATATTTAGGTTTGAGTTTGACATACCAATCACAAGTTAGTAGTGGGTTGGGTTTACTAAAATAGTTTTCTTCTTAGTTATAAAGTCAGTCCATGGAGGTCAGAGTCTTCTTGACCTATGTTTAACAAATATATATGCAAATTGATCTGGTTGATGAAGTGACATTGACAACTTTCAAGTTTTACCTTTAGGATGTCAAGGGTCCTCAAACTGCTGCATTTAATCTACCAAATGACGAGCGTATAGTAAAAGATCGAGGAACATCAATGGTCATGCTTAAGAATATCTCAGAGGCTAAGTAAAACTCTCCTTCCCTCAGATTAATATCCATTATTGCTTTTCCAAATTTTGATCTGTTCATAATGTGAACTACCTTTGCTAAATCAGGCTCAAGCACATTCTTCAGCCTATAGCTGATGTTTGTATTACAAAGGAACAACAGGAACTTGTAGATTTTGAATCTTTCTTCACTCACACAATTTGCCATGAGTGCTGCCATGGGATTAGACCTCATAGCATAACACTTCCAGATGGTAGAAAGTCAACAGTGAGATTGGTCAGTGACATCAGTATAAGTTATCTAATTTTCTTGTTCACTATATATTAGTTTGACAACCTTTGTGAATTGCTTCGCTGCTAATAGTAAACTAAACAATTCTTCAAAATAAGGTTCAAGATATCTAGCAGAACAGAAAGTTTAATAAACTTGGATCGTCAATTTGATAGCAATTGTTGCTGGTCAATGAACATTGAAATTTGAAGTTGATTTCATAACTCTATCTTACTACAGACAGAACCTAAACATATTTGAGATTACTGCAACACTTTGTTAAAGTCCAGTTGATAACCAGAACAGGTATCTGGCTTTCAGCATCTTTGAAACTTGTTTCCTTGCAAAATCCTATTTGGTTGCCTAAATTTAGTTTGCTTAAAACATCTATATTTTACAGTCAGTCTTATTGAAGATTATATTCGAAGTTCTTGCGCTTCTTGGTTTACCTCTAATGTCATTTTAAACAGTTTAAGAAAAAGCAATAAAAAAGAAGGAAATTTTTGAAGGTTAAGTACATCAAGTGTGCACTGTTTTCTTAATGTCAAATCTGATTTTCCATGTGTTTTCATCTCTTGACAAAGGAACTGCAAGAACTCCACTCAACTCTGGAAGAAGCAAAAGCTGATATAGTTGGCCTTTGGGCTTGAAGTTCCTAATCGACAAGGTGAGTGGCTATTTATTTGGTTGAGATTGCTTTCCTTCACTTTATCTCATTAGTGGGATAGTTTGGTTTACACTTTTTTTTTTTTTTTTGTTTACAAATTTGCATCTTTCATTTGTTTTAATTATGTTATCATTGAGATGATGCTGGACTTCTTGTTGATCGATCGAGTCTTTTTACCTTTCTTTTAATAATTATTAATGAAATTTTGTTTCTTGTAAGTTGTGTTACTGACACTGGTATTCATATAGTAATGGCATACAAGCAGTGTTCTAGTGCTTATACTAAATGAAGTTCCATGTCTCTTTTCTTGCTGGTTCCAGGACTTACTTTCAAAGAGTTTATTGAAGTCTATGTATGTTTCTTTTCTTGCTGGATGCTTCCGCTCAGTACGGTTTGGTCTTGAAGAAGCTCATGGGTAAGCTAGTAATTCATCCTTCTCAAGTCCACTTTTTCACTTGTCAGCGGGCATTGCTATAGTAACCATCCAGCATGTTTGGCCTCCAAAGTATCTTATACTTTATAATTGCAGAAAAGGACAAGCTTTGCAATTTAATTGGTTGTATGTGCAAGGAGCCTTTATTTTGAATCCTGATGAAACATTTTCTATTGACTTTACCAAGGTATTACTTATCAATTTCCAAATTTCCTCCTTTTGCCCCCAAGGTGACGCATCAAGGCTATCTATAACTACTCCTTTGTTTTGGTAAAAGGTTGAAGGTGCAGTTGAGACCCTGAGTCGGGCGATACTCACCATACAAGCAAAAGGTGACAAAGAGGCTGTAAATGTACTGCTTCAGAAACACGGCATACTGACAGACCCATTAAAAGTTGTTTTGCAAAAATTAGAGAAAATTCAGGTACAAAAATCTATTTCGATAAAATTGATCAAATATGAAGAGTTCAGGCACTTGTATGCATATTATTAAGCTGATATTTGCAATTTGCGTGCATTGGACAGAAATCTCTGTAAGACATATTCCCAGTTTTCATTGATCAAGTTGACATTTCGCATTTATTAAGCTACATTTTCGCTTTGATAAAAATTCAGGGATTTGCATTATGTAGTTTGTTTTTGGCTCCCTACTTTTCTTTTTACTATAAGGAAAATCTAAATTGAAATCTGTAATCCAAAAAGATGCCCTAAGATTCTGTGCATCATAGCAACGCTTCGTGTAGTTACTAACATGTTCGTATTTGCATAGGTCCCCGTGGATATAGTTCCCACATTTCCGGTAGATGATAAAATATTGGAGCAAAGACAATAAATTGGTGAGTCTCATTACCATCTTTCAAGGATGCTAGTAAATGATAACATAATTCCTGAGCTAATGACAGATTGCAATTTTTCATGTCTTGATACCATCTTATATAATCCTCTACCTATTGAATATTTCGAGTATTAATCGCCTAATTTTTGTACTGTGAGCTTGCAGATCATGAGACAGACATGGCTTCGATGACTTTTTATGCCACTTGCAGTAATCTGGTTTAGCGGTGTCTATGCCTTTTGTTTTTCCGTCGTAAATTGCAAATGAATACCTTGTAGTTGTAGATATAGAACTACGATATACATACGTACATATACATATATATGTATCTATATATGCAGGAGATTTTACGAACACCTGAAGATTATCTCAGGCGCCCCATCTTAATCTATTCGTGTAGATGAATAGTTAAAAATGCAGGCTAAATTTCAAGTTTTTAGCCCTTTGCATTTGGAGATTATCCAAGCTAGTTTGTAGCCAATAAAAGCAGTTTCAAGCTTCTTGTAGTCAATACAAGCAGGCACTACCTCGTTGTAGCAAATAAAGGCAGTCTCAGGCTCGAAGTAGTAGTCAACGTAGACAATTACAAGCTCGTATGCCATTTGCAAAATTAGTTATTTTGTGTTTGAGAGACAGTGGGTAGTGGTGCGTATGAATTGGAGAGGTTGGAGGTTTACTTGTAGTCACGTGAGAAATAAATTGTGATCATGAATCTCACTAAGATAGAGCTTGAGAAAGCTGACTCACAACCCAAGTCTGAATTTGAGATGATGAATTTTGGGAAAACTCGTCCATATCTCGGCATGTGGTACGAGGATTTGTTAACCTGATGTGGTTGTAACAAGGCATCCACATCATACTGGTCATACTCTTGACATGTGCATTTACTGCCACTTGTTCAACTTGCATTAACTCACATTTTTTCCTTAAACTACAAGTTTGTCCCACTAGGTTTACTGTTGAGATATGCCCTGAACTCAATATTGAGAAGAAACCTTTTAGGATAATTCCAGAATGATTAGTTATGACTAATACAACAAACATGCAACACTACTAATTAAGACTATCCTATTTAATCTATGTAGGTCCAAATAGTGGATCCCATGGACAATAGATTAATGAAAAAAGCAATCTAAAGAGACAATTGGGACCTTTTTTTCTTTAACCCTATGTTCTAAAAGGTTTCTAGACATAGGATTGTCATAGACATTGATAGTCCGGAGAGACCGGTACATATTAAGTCTACTTTATAGGAAGAATGTCTAGTCTCAAACCATTTGTATATGGATACTGAGGCAAGTGTGTAGGTGCTCATTAATAAAATAAGATCACTGAACATAATCAAACGAGAGTACTTGCATAGAATTCTACATACATGTCGAGCAACTTTACAAGTTGGAATGATGCAAGTATTCCTTTGACCTGAGACATCATACTTGTCTTGGGGGTACGTTACTAATCAATTAACAATGAAACATGACCACATTGCAACTTGGATGTGTTCTATGCATTGTTAGGATTACTTACTTATTCTCAAAGACATTTGAATATTCAACATGGAATAGGTAATCCTCAGTATGAGAGGAAGAATACTCTTAAGATATGATTCAGGAACTTTCGGCCAAAGTATCGAGCGTTATAAAGGAAGAGATTTCTATATGTCTCAATGGAATCATATAAATTAGGATGATCACATTAGGGGGTTTGACATAAATGTAACCATACCCTAATTATGTGATTGAGAGTATTCACGTAGAGAAGGATGATGGAATGGCACATGGGTTGACATAAAGTAACCATACATAATAGGTTCTCCAACCAATTCTACATTATCTTGGGTAGCCATGACACATCACTAGATATCACTCATGGCTTGCGGGTCTCTTTGATAATTAATTATGTAGTTGTCAATGTACAGAAGAATTAAGAGTAAGTTTTAATTCACTAAGTAATTGTATAAATACTAATCAATTGTACTAACAACAATCACCTCACTGCCTCCATTGCCTTGCTAATTAAAACCTAAAACAGTTGTACATTGATACACTTGTGTAATGAGATGACTAAAGGATGATAAAATTAGTTAATTAGACTAATTAAGTGATATAATTAATCAAAGGGTCTAAATTAACCATAGAAGCGATAACTTCGTTGTTGAACTTAAAAGTAGTTCAAGTTCTTTTAGCCTATTGATTCATTACCACAACAAAAGAGAAAAAAACCTACTTTCTCTTTACACACAAACAGCCGGGCAACTAAGGGAGAGGACTACTCTCTTGGGTTATTTCCATCATCCATCTCACTAGACTTTCTCAAGGTGGAGCTTAAGAAGATATCCATTTCTTTCAAGGTGGAGGAAGCTAGGAAGAGATACTCCAAGGAGCAAAGAAGTTGGTGGAACTCTTGGATAGGATTAAAGTCTAGATCCAAAGGTATGAGATCCAAATCCTTCTCTCTGCTTTAATACAACTATTTGTCACACCAAACTAAATCTATGCTTCTTTAAGGGGATTTGCATGACTATAACTCATCAAACGGGAGAAATTTTAAGATCCAACACCCTGACCATGTGTTCCGTAGGGTCAAGGCCAAAAACATCACACCAATCCCACCCTCCCTAATTTTGAGGGCCACACTTACCCCACTCTGGTCCCACGCTCTCTTATTATACCTGGTCCCTCCCCAATTTCAAATCACCCTCCCTACAACTTAAACGAATTAGTATAAATCATCCAAGTGTTAGTATTGAAAAAGATTATAATTTTTTTGTTAAAATGACATTGTTGTTATGCGATGACATGGAAATCTATTCGTGCTTAAATTTTTCATGATGAGCATCGAAGTTGGCACATTGCCAAGCCATGTTTCTTTGTGTAGTAAAGGCCCGTTTTAAGCATGACTGAGCGAAAAATAGAATGCGCCCGCCCCTTACTTGAACCCTAATTCGAATCTTCCTTGACCTAGTTTACAATATTACCTTGTCAAAATGAAGTAAAACAGACAAAAAAACAATTCAATTTTATTTCTGCACGTAGTTCAATAATGGAAGACAAGCAATCTCTCTGGTCCCTTGTATTAGTAATAACTGATATGGTAGAGTATGTTTTCCTAGACAACTTTCAAATCTTTGAGCCATGCCGTATGGAGCGGACAGGGATCCGGCCTTCCTTCGGCAATTGCCTTTTCGGTTAGAGAATAAAACCAACCATTTCTCCATTTGAACTGCAAGCAAAACGCAATCACCACAGTGAAAACAAATTAAACACATTCGAGTCACATGCGTATATGTTATACATATATATATATATATATATATATATATATATATATGCTTGCAAAACTCATCTATATGGCTTGCATGCATCTCTCACCTCTTTAACTGCAGTAGGAAAGTGTGCAACCGCGCGTGAGTATGCACATAATCTGTCCTCCATGGCTTCTTCAAATACCAACCCCTTCTCTGCAGCAGCTGCAGAGGCAAGCTCTGCAATGAGACTAGACACCTGAAAGCATAAACATCGGTCAAGTTTTTATCGGTTCCTTTTCTTAACACATAACCAATGTGATGAGCCAACCCCTTCCTCCCTAACTCTGAAAATTTAGTATGGACTCTATACTGCGCTAACCTAAAAGTGGTTTCGTGTCACGATACTTCTTTGTCAATGAAATGAGAGATGTCCATTCTTATGCAAGTATTTGGACAATTACAGTTCAACCTAATAATCTGGTTACAGCCTTGGCCATGATAATTATTATGCGTTTGGCTTGATGTAAGCCAAGCAAATCCAGACAGCACCACACCCCCAATAGAATTTACTTTTAGTAACCTTTCAGTATTCTGTAACAAACCCATGTTAATGGAACAAAACCTCGGTGTTATTTTTACTAGAAAGTCATGCTTCCCAGAAATAAAGAAATAAATAAAAACTAGGAAGTCATGCATAATGATGAAGGAAAAATACATACAAAAGAAAGTAACCTTAGAATTGCTATTGTTGCAAATCAACGATATGAAACCAGTTTATAACGAAGTAAAACACAAGGAATTGTTGCTCCATCATTAAGTTCAGACAACTTATGAGATTCCAATCATATGATAATATTTAGTCCCTCTTTTCATCGTCCATTGATTGTAGTTCAGTTCGCTAGCTATTATGCCATACATAGTAGAATTACAATAGCCAAAAGGTAACAAATACTAGGTAAAGTAAATTTGTACATGGCATTTCCAAATCTGCAACCTAATCATGAAGTAGAAATTGTTTTGGACAAAGATCCTATTTCACCATCAATATGCCAAAGGCAGAATTACATTTATTTTCTAGTCTTTCAACTTTAAAAGAAAAGATAAAAGTAAAAAAGATTACCTCAGAGCGGTATACTTTCTCTACACCACCTACAGTTGTTCCTGGATGACGAGCTCCGACAAGCATGAATGCTGAAATCCAGATCAACTTCTCTAACATCTGCTTCTGAAATGCTTCCTTGTTGAGAACCTGCTTTATATTTTCATTCATCAGTAAAAGACTAACGCAACAGAAAAGCCAATTCCAAATTAGTGTAAAATGCTACGGAGATATTATTCTTTTACCTTGCAAGTGAGGCCTCCAGCATGTAATCTATCAGCTACTGCCAATGCCCACTTCCCATATGACGCAGTCAGTCCTTCAGGATTGGTATCAGTCTTTCCATCAACAGGAGGTTCTCCAAGCTTGGAGACAGCAAAATATGCTAGGACTTGGTCAGCATCACCAAGAACTTTACTTTCAAACCATGGTTCCAGCATTCCATTCTGGAAAAAAACCAAATCTGCTGGATTGTCAAGTCCATTGGGTCAAGCAAACCAAGAAGCAAAAATCCAAAATAAATTTTGCAAATTAGGTGAAGTAAAAAATCCAGTTAAAGCCATTCACAGAAGAATGCAATCTGACATCTCCCCCTTTCTCCACCAATTTTGGCAAGCAACAAAACTTGAAACAAGGAGAGGGGGAGCATGTTATATAGGTTTGATTGACATGTAATTTAACTGAAAGTGAATGTTTAGAAAATTGCATTACAAATAATGAAGTTTCATATCAGCCTGAATTATAAACTGCCAAGCTAACAGTGGTACTATAGCTGCACAAGGGAGTGCTGCAAACAAATGGTAGCAATATTTGGTCACAAACTCCTAACTTTTTCACATATCTTATAATCAGTAGTGAGTAAATTCAACAAATCTGAAAAAACAAATGAACAATTTCATGAAATAGAAGTCACAGGCCGAATTAGTGGTTTATGGCATTGGACAAGCTTTGGTCAATGAAAACTCCAAGTTCATATTTACAAGAGACATAGCAGTCGAACCAAGAATTCAGTCATCTAATTTTCTAATTTGGATCCAATAATTAACAGTATGAAGGTCCACTTTTGAGATTCATCACTCAGCATTTTGACTTTGTACTAAGAAACTCCATTAAGCACTCTTACATGAACATGAACCGATAGTTCAAGAGTATTGGGTTTGAATGTAATCACAAGTGAAAAGCCCCATCCAATCAAATTCCCAACTTACTTCCACTTCCAGTAACCAAACAATTCATATACATATAATACAGCAACAGCAACAAAGCCTTATCCCACTAAGTGAGGTCGGCTATATGAATCCTAGAACGTCATTGTGCTCAGTTTTGTGCCACGTCTTCCGTAATTCATATACGTATAATATTAACAAAAAAATTGATTGATAACACCTGAATTTCATATAAAAAACCATCAACAAATCAATTGAAACTGCTCAGACAGTAACTGGAAAAAGAGTGAAGAGAAAGTAGTACCGTTCCATCTAGGCCTTGGAGTGGCTTCAAGAACAGCTTCAAGATCATCATTCCTAGTGCAAACCAAAATTGGACCTTGGAAATCAAGAGGCACGGGCTCTCCTCTTTTCACCAGCAAGTCACAGCCATTCCCCATCCCCTCCAAGGCCCTTCCGACCCTTCCACCGCCCACTATCACTGCAGGTACCACCTTGGTTTTGGCGGCGGAGGCCGCAGCCATGGCTGTGGAGGCCTTGGCTCTGATTCTTAAGCTGAGTGTTGAAGTCAGTGAAGTGGGTTTTCTAGTGAGGTGGCAAAGAGTGGAGCTAGAGAGTGCGACGGCGCTGCTGGCCATGGTTACACAGAAGAGTAGTAGTCAGGGAGGACATGATGGTGGTTTGGATTTTTGAAGTGGGTTTGGTGTGGGAGTAAGGAAGTGAAAGAGATGAGCCACTCGTTTTCGGCGATTGCCAATCCTTCTATCCAAACGAAAATTACTAGAGCTCGTTTTACAACAGCCGTTGAATTGTATCTTCTTAGCCCAATCTCATCTGTTAGTTTAGTTTATTTATTTAACAGAGTTTATATATCTAATTAAGTCATTCTCCCCAATCAAATAAGATAAGATTCTTTTACTTCGGGTTGAAGCATCTGCGTTGAAAGAAGTCTCATGTTGATCAATGTTTTAATGATTAGCTCGCTCTTCATCAGGGATACCCATGTCGAAGGGAGGTGACCCTCTGTGTTAGGGGGCACCCAGATGATGGTTGATGTCCACAGGGGCAACGAGCTCGCGTGTTTGAGTACGCCTAGTTTCGTGGAGCGTCTCAAAGAGCTTCTCATACTGCTTCTAAAGGACCTCATTCTGCATTGCTATCTTGTTGTTCTAAGCTTCTAGCTCATCGACTTTAGCTTGAAGAGCAACCCTCTTTCCTTTCTTTTTTCATTGCTTCGCACTAGGTGCAAGAGGGGTGTCATTATGTGTGTTGTGGCTTCCTTCGCTCCCCATGTTGGAAAGGGATGCCTGGTCAAAAGAGAGTTTACGAATGGTGGAAACCAACTTGGCAAAGCTGAAAAGAGTGGGAATAAATGTCGTTCCCACAGACGGTGCCAAATGTTGATGCACAAAATCAGTAAGGACTTTGGTACAACAAAAAATGTTAAGTTTGTGACCTTCGCTAGATTGCTTTGGTCACTAGTATGGGTAAGTATGTCAATAGATAGAGACAGAGAAGCAAACACAAGATGTACGTGGTTCACCCAGATTGGCTACGTCCACGGAGTAGAGGAGTTCTCATTAATTGTGAAGGGTTTACACAAGTACATAGATTCAAGCTCTCATTTAGTGAGTACTAGTGAATGATGTAGTACAAATGACATTAGGAAATATTGTGAAAGAATGATCTCTATTTATATAAAAGAGTTTCTAGTTTCATTCTGACATTAGCACGTGTCGTGTTGTGATTGGCTTCTTATATTGACACGTGTTGCGCTATGATTGGCTTCTGATGTCGACACATGTCGCACTGTGATTGGCCTCCTGGTTGGAGGGAAACTCTTTTGGGTCCTTGACGGTATAACGTTGACTGGTGCTCAGTAGTTTCGGGATTGGTCAAGTATGGTACAAACAAATAGAATGTACAAAACCTCATTTTTAGGTACGTTTGGTTAATCGGTACATTTGATTATGTCGGCGTTGGTTACTTATAAGATGATTACATTTGGTTTATGGTATATTTGAACTTTTGGTACATTTAGCTTCTTGGTACATTTGAATTGTTGATACATTTTGACACACCCCGACCGAGGTCAAGGCATGCTGGCCGTCACGTGAGAGTGATGTAGCCATGTGCACAGTGCAGAAGCGGTAATGATAGCAATTAAACGAATAATTAAAAACCAGATTACTAGTGTGCACTACTAAACAGAAAGTGATAGGAGTTACACAGTAAACACTCCTAATCAGAGCATAAAGTTTAGGTGTAGTCCAGTAGGACAAGTACTAGTTACACAGTACCAGGAATGTCCTACTATTATTCAAATAGGTCAAAACTGCCGAAGATCTCGAGCCACCAACATCAATCTTACTTAGAACCTGGAGGGGCGCAAAACAGAAAACGTGAGTGGGCAAAAAAAAATGTTTTACAAAATCATTTCACTTATCAACATATTAACCCCTCGCTGTAAAACATATAAGATTTTCCCAGAATCAAGATATAATCATATACAAAAATATATCTGAAATCATATCAAGTCAATTCATGCTTCACATAATCATATTCATATGTATGCCATGCCAAAACATAACAAAGTAAATAGTTCAGGTAAGAATGATTTCATGGAAATACGATATGTTAGCCGGAACTCCTGTGGTAGTCTGTACGGCTGAATTCATAACCCAAACTCAATCTAGCTGGAGTCACTTCTATGACCTATACGGCAATATAATGCACATAAGTCGGAACCATTAAAATGATATGTACGACAAGATTGGGTGAAATATAACTATGCTCAACTCTATTCTCTCATAATAGCTGGGCGATAAATCGCTAGTCACCTACGAGTCGAAACCATGAATAAGGTCTGTACGACAAGACTATGCACTTAAATTTGATCCAATATGAGCATATAGTGCGGGAGGTGACGTAAATAAACAGACATGTACTTTATATCTTTGGCTAAATCACAATCACCTTATGTGCAGTTTTATGAGCTCAACATCATTCAATCACATATCACATCATTGATGATCCACATAACCAAATATAACTTACCTGAACTTACCTATACCTCCACAACACCACATTTATATATATGCAACCATGAAATGCATATTCAGAATATAAAAGCCTTTGGCATATTAATTCAAAGCATACTTTCCTAAAAATGCATTTCTGGGAAATATATCAAATATATAAGTATATATTGAAAACAAAAGCCCACTCACTGATATGTCGACGGGTCGTAACCCCCGAGTTGCCCGTGGATACGCTTGTCCTCGGGATAAGTCTCACCTATATGCGAATTAATTATAAAAACGTTATTTTAAAGCATATAGGCAAAACTAGCTAATAACTTCTCATACATAGCTCAAAACGGGTATATGAATATACCAACGTGACCTACACAACCTCACAAACATTGTGATATTTTTAGAAAATTTTTCCTATAGCTCACGCACCCTCACGTGCCGGGGAGGGCACGACATCATGCGCTCTTACATGCATCACCTTCAACCTCCAGACGCCAGAATAGTTCCACCGCCGTCGGATTCTGGGCAGACCTGCAACTGCCCATTTCCCTCTTGTTTTTGCACCATTTTCTACAAAATCTTCACCCAAATGTCACAAATTTCAAGAGGAAGAAGGTTATACCTCTTTGGAGCCTCAAATCCTTCGAAAACACGTCGGAAAAATCTCACCAAAACCAGCCACCTTCGAACCTTGTGATCCCGAGCCACCTTCGAACCTTGTGATCCCGACGTCCAAAACCTTCAAACGAAGCACTCCGAGCTTCCTTGGGACCTCACTAAGCTCGCTATGAGCTTGGATTGTCCTAAAATACAACCATTCGAAAGTTCATGAATAGTGTTCAACTCGGAGCTTGAGTTTTCAACGTGAAATCGAACGAGTTCTTACCTAAAATGAGTACATTTGTACTCGTATGGTCCTCACAAACACAATGGTACAAATTTCTTCTTCGATCCGTGATGATTTGGCTTGGTTTGACCTTGTCCGTACGGAGGAGAGGGAAGAGAGAGAGTGAGTCTGAGAGAGAGTACGGGAGAGGAGAGAGAAAGGGTATGGATGTGAGTGTGTGGTTCCAAAGTGTACACCAATCACAACCAAAAATTTTCTTACTTCCAATTGGGTCCAAACTAGTAGGGACTTAATACATTGGTCCTCAACCACAACCACACCTAGTCCCACGATGCCACAAACGCTCGAGGGCATTTTAGTATTTTCACACCAACGATAACAAAATAATGTACATTTCCGGGACGGGTTGTGACACATTTGGTTTCTTGGTACATTTGAATTGTTGGTACATTTGGTTCTTGCTAAATTTGAATTTTTTGTACATTTAGTTTTTGGTACATTTGAATTTTTGGTATATTTGATTTATGGTACATTTTTTTACTTTCACTTCGTTTGTTTTCAACCCATAAGTTTTATTACTTTTTTTTTTTTTACTAATAATGAGGAATTAGTTTAATTAATATTTTTTTAGAAAGAGTCATTAAAAATGTAGGAGTTTAATTACTTATTTTAACTCTAATTAATTATTATTTTTATATAGAAAGAGTCATTAACATGCAGGAGTTTAAAGGACTAGGAAAATTAAATTTCCTAGATTGTCGGCAATTAGTTACAAGGTGAAGTGAAGATGCCTTTAAACTAATTACAAATAATTAAAAAAATAGAAAAATATTGATGTGGCAATTGATCAAAGCCTCTAAATCAAATCTTATAAAAGAACTAATGTTTAATCTAAAAAGTATTAAAAAAAAAAATTGGGGATTCCAATTTCGCTATATAGAAATTGGGGCCTTTTGGGCCTAATGCCACTTAATACATCTTATGTCATAAATTATGCCCCATGAGTTTTGACCCAACGGGCTTGAAAAGCCCAAACTATTTTAAAGCCCTATTAATGTCTTATCATTTATTTATTAATATGAGACTCTCTAATTAATCAAATCTCTGTACTATAATCCAATTAATTTCATTCATCTCGTACTATCATCCCAATTCACTAGTATATCGATGTACGATTTATATTAGGTTATAATTAGTCAGGCAGTGAAGTGATTAGTCTTAATATAATCACTTAGTAAATTAAAACTTACTTTTAATTCTTCCATCATTGAAAATTAAACTATTTAATCATCGAGATGTTCCCACAAGCCAATGTTGAGATCTAGCCATGTATTAAGGCTACTCAAGCCAAAGTAGAATGCATAGAAGAACATTTTTGGTATAATTACAATGTAATTCGATTTTCTCTCTTTCAATACTATCAATCACATTATTAGGGTATAGATACTTTATGTCATACCTCTAATGTGATTATCTTGTTGTATACAACTCTATTGAGACGTGTAAGAATGCCTTCATTTATCACGTTCGATACTTTGACCAAATATTCCTGAATTATATCTTAAAGTATCTCCCTCTCATACTGAGGGTTGAATCTTCGTTTTAAGGGGTGGTTTGGGAGTGAGGTGCTTAAAAAAAAGCACTCATGAAAAAAAGCTGTGAGGGTTTTAGGTGTTTGGTAAACTAAAAAAAAAGGCTTATTTTGGAAGTTGCTGTGAGAATAAGCTGAAATCAAAGGAAAAAGCTGAAACAGCTATTTGCAGCTTTGGAAAACTGACTTTTTTTTTTCAAAGCACACGAAGCTACATTGCTCCTTTAACGAAAAGACCCACTACCAGACTGTTTTTTTTTTCAAAAGTACTTGTACAAAAAAGTTTACCAAACACTCTGCTG